TAATAAATAATATTATAGTAAAGCAAATAAGGGATCAGATCATTGTTAAGTGTTATCGAGTTGATTCTGACCCATAGGGACCCTGTATGGGGTTTCCAAGGAGCAGCTGGTGAGCTTGAACCACCAACTTTGCAGTCCAGCATGATGGGGTTAGAACTCCAATTAGTGGGTATTTGAAGCCTCTTGCTACTATAAGCGATACTCTAGTGAACACTCTACCAAACATCTGTTAAGTTTGTTCTACTGTGGTGGCTTGTGTGTTGCTAGAATGCTGGAAGCTCTACCACCGGTATTTTAAATACCACCAGTATCACCCACTGACTCATCTACATCCAGAAACTTGGAGGACAGCTACATGGCCAACTGATTGGAAGAGACCCACATTTGTGACCAAAACAGATGTTGAAGTATTCTTTTGGGGGATGAAGCAATGCCATTCCTTTTCAATTTGTCACTTCTTGTGTAGTAAACCATATGGTTGTCTGATTCAAAATGACCAGTGTCAGTCCATTTCAGCTCACTAATGCCTAGGCGATCGATCTTCATGCATTCCATTTCATTTTAGACAACTTTCAATTTCCCTAGATTCATACTTCATGCATTCCATGTTCCAATTATTAATTTCTATGTTCCAGTTATTAATGGATGCTTGCAGGTGTTTTTCCTCATTTAGAGTTGTGCGCCATCAGCAAATGAAGGTCCCTAAAGCTTTACTTCAGTTACGTCATTGTGGCCAAACTCTACTTTGAGAAAGTATCTCTTTCCCAGTCATAATTTGAGTGCCTTCCAACCTCAGGGACTCATCTTCTGACAATGCTCTGCTGTGAATCATAATGCTTTCAATGGCTAAACATTCAACATTCTGTCTCTCTTTCTCCCGCGTCTGTTTTAGTCTATAAGTTCAGCTGAAACTTGTCTAGTATGTGTGACCCTGTTGGCACTTCAGACACCACTGGCATAGCTTCCAGCATCCTAGCAGCATGCCAGCCACCCAGTATAATAAACTCGGAGTAGCGGATGGTGGGAAGTAGTGGCAGAGAGACTGCAGCTGAACTGGCAGGAGCGGGAGCAGTGGCTGACCCACAGAGCCAGAAAGCAATGCTTTAGAGCAGGCGGGGGCTTTCTGGTGAAATGGATCGCCTCTGGGCATTTAGTGGGGGGTGGGGGAGCTAGGTTTGCTGACCCACAGAGCTAGAGCTGAACATCTTCCAGCCGAAGCTTATTTGCAGAGTGGAGTGCCTCTGGGCATTTATCAGCAGAAGGGGCTGAGAGAGGTTGAAGACTTAAGCATACCTGGGAGCCCTGCTGAGAAGAAGCTGTCCTCAATAAAGAACTGTATTCTGAGCATACCTGAGCCTGAATTGTAACCTTTGAATTCCCTAAAATCCTTTAACTGTGTGAGTTCTCTGTGAGTTCTGTGTGGCTGTTGCAATGAATTGTTGAACCCAGCTGAGAAGTAAAGAGTGCTTTATGAGGGGTGGTCTTGTAAGAACTGGTAAGAAAAGTTGAAGGATGGAGGTATGTGTGACTTCTGCCTCAGGAATCAGCCTTGGTCATTCCCCTTTGTGAAGCTAGAGGTCAGACGCCACCTCTATGCTATTTTTGCATGAAGATTCCACCCACCACTACTAATTACTACAATATTGTAGCTAAAACACCAGAAAGTTTGACACAATCAAGTAGAAAAACACTGGCAACAAGGAAAACAACAGTGCATACTTAAGAGTGTGCACAGATGAAACCATGTGATCTGACGCATCATTATAATTGGATAACAATGACAGCTCTGACCGGAGAAGATTCAAAAAGTAAATGATCATAAAGTGTTACCCTTGTAGGTATACTGGTACATGTAAACCAGATTTACAACAAATTTATAAAATACCCTTATAGTATTTTATAAAGAAATAATAAATTTCTGGGGATACATTTTACAAAAATATTGTAGCAAGTCCTTCCGGAGTTACCCAGTGTGGTCCACACTCCCCATACCTCCCTGGTAACACCAGTGTTTGGAAGGCACCGTGACCTGCTAGAACCCATTTATGGGCCCCTTGACCTACTGGAATCTGGTATGCTTTCTTCTACAGCTGATTAGAGCATGGAACTGCGTGTTCTAATGCCCCACTTGTTGCAAATGTTTCAGGTTGTACCATCTTTGACAACTGCAAGACGTGCCGAAATGGCTCATGGGGAGGCACTCTGGATGACTTTTACGTGAAGGGGATCTACTGTGCTGAGTGCCGAGCGGGCTGGTATGGAGGAGACTGCATGCGTAAGTAGACCTTAAAGTAGCTTCCCGTCTTAAGGCATGCTGTTTGAAAGGCTCAGCTTGCCAAGGACTGAAGTTTATCTCAATGGAATCTGAGTTCTGGAAAGCTTGTGCCTACAGGGCTTTCTAGGTAAGGTTACAAATAACAAAGGCATGTTTCCAATCTGCTGGGTGTGGACTGTGGACATCTGTTTGGAATTGTTGGCCACAGGAGGATTTTATCTGCTCTGAAATCTCCCCTTTCTCCTAAACGAAGCCAAGACATTCTGCACACAACATACTTTGTGTCCATTCCAGAAGCAGTTTTACGGTAGAATTGTTGTTAAGTGCTGTCATGTCGATTCCAACACATGGCAACCCTGTGCAGGGCTTCCAAGGAGTGGCTGGTGAGTTTGAACTGCCAACCTAGTGGTTCAAATCGATCTTGTGGTCCAGTACTTTATCCCACAGCAATACACCAGGACTCCAGACAGTGAATTGGTGTTGTTTAGTCTTTGAGTCAGATTCTGATTTGTTCCAGACAGTAAATAGGGCTTCAGAAATGTTGTGTGTAGTGCATATTATCATTATTACTTTTTAATTAATTTATTTAATAATCTTTTATTGTGTTTTAGGTGAAAGTTTACACTTAAACTTTGGTTCCCCTTTTAACAATTATTATTCTAATTGTTCCATGCTATCCTATCGGTTACAATTTTTACATGTGTCCTCATTTTTTCCATACTTTGTTTTCTATTTCCACTAGGCTAGCTTCCCTTTTTCCTCCTTGTGTTGTTAAGTGCCATAGAGCCAGTTCTGACTCGTAGTGAACCTGTGTAGGATGTCCAGGGAGTGGCTGGTGTGTTTAAACTATTGACCTTGTGATTAGCAGTCTAGTGCTTATCCTACAGTGCCATACCAGGACTCCTCGATTTTACTTTTGAGTAAATGTTGAGCATTTGGTCTCATATAATTAATTGTTTGAGGGAGCACATGACTTACAGGTGATAATTTTTTTTACGAGCCAATGCATTACTTGGCTGAAAAGTGACCTGCAGATATACCTACACATGCATACTCATTTACTTGCGTATACCTTTCTATATACAATAGTAAAAACAACCAAAAAATATCTACCTACAAAATCATACACATATTATTTATTTTTTTATAACTGTTGTTGCAAAATTGCATGTGTTATAGCATTTACTAAAACTGTCCCTTTTTCTCTCAAATTTCTTAGCGTCTGTATTTACCTTAATCAGATTGTGCTGACTTCACCAATATTTGGTCTTGCCTTTTCCATCACCAAAAATAATGTCTACTAGTTGCTATGAGTCGGCACCGACTCGATGGCACCTAACAACAACAAAATCTAGAAGGAGTCCTGGTGTGGTGCTGTGAGTTAATGCGCTGGACTACAAAGTCAGACTGAACTATAAAGTTGGTGGTTCAAGCTCACCAGCTGCTCCTTGGAAACTCTATACAGGGTCTCTATGGGTCGGAACCGACTCTACAGCACTTAACAACAACAACTATCTTGAAAGTGATCCCCTTTCCCTCTCCCTGCCGTCTATGCTGTTGTTGTTGTTAGGTGCCTTTGAGTCGGTTCCAATTCATAGCAACTGTGTGGACAACAGAACAAACCATCCTCACAGTGGCTGTGCTTGAGTCCACTGTTACAGCCAGTGTGTCAGTCCATGGTGCTCAAAGTCCTCTTCTTTTTAGATGACATTCTACTTTACCAAGCATGATGTCCTTCTGTAGGGACTAGTCTCTTCTGATAATATGTCCAAAGTACAAGAGATGAAGTTTCATCATCCTCACATCCAAGAAGCAGTCTGACTGTACTTCTTTCAAAACAGATTTGTTCATTCTGGCAGCCCGTATTTAATATTCTTTGCCAACACCATAATTCAAATGCCTCTATTATTCTTCAGTCTTCTCTATTCATTTGATGGTCCTGGTGTGGTGCTGTAGGATAAGCACTGGACTGCTAATGCAAGGTTGGTGGTTCAAAACCACCAGACTCTTCTCAGAAACTCTGTTTCAGGTTACTATGAGTCAGAACCGATTTGACAACACTTAACAACAATGACATCCATGCCCTCAGAGAACTTGATTTTCTGTGTGTAGATCTGTTGTTTGCTTTTTGTAATAGTGGAGCTATGCAATATTTCTCCTTTTGTAACTGACTTATTTTACTCAGCAAAACATCCTCCAGATGTATCTCTATTATAAAATGTTTCCTGAGCATTATTCATTAGAGTTGTGTATAGTATCACATGTGGTGTATTGGTGTATAAGCAACCTCAAGGTTGGTTTGCACTGCAAGGTCGGCATTTCAACCTTACTAGTCGTTCCTTGGAAACCCTGTAAAGGATCGATGTGAGTCAGAACCAACTCCATGGCACTTAACAACAACAAGTATCCCATTGCATGTATGTATGTACCGCAGCTTGTTTATCCGTTCATCCACTAATAGGCAATTAGATTCCATCTTGCTGTGATTTTGAATAATGCTGCATGAACATGTTGTGGGATTTCCCTTCTATTCCTGAATTGCAAGAGTTGTTAATCAGGAAAAGATGTTGGATTTTATCACATCCTTTTTCTGCTACAATTGAGATGATCCTGTGATTCTTTTATTTATATGGTGAATTACATTGATTGGTTTTCTAATGTTGAACCATCCTTGCGTCCCTGGTATGACTCCTACTTGATCATGATGCATTACTATTTGATATACTATTGAATTCTGTTGGCTAAACTGTTGTTGGGAATTTTTGAATCTCTCCTCATGAGGGATACTCATCTGTCATTCTTTTATTGGTGTCTTTTCTTTGCTTGGCTTTGGTATCAGGGTTATGCTGGCTTCGTAGAATGAATTAGGGCATACTCCTTCCTTTTCTATGTTCTAGAATAGTTTGAGTGGAATTAGTGTCTGTTGTGCATTTTAAATTTGAAATATTATTGGTGAACTTATTGAATTCTGAATTTAAACTTCTGCAACCATCCCACAGCAAGTTGCCAGCATGCCATTTGTCCCAGGAGATGGATTCTTTCTGGGGTCTACTTGGTTTCAAAGAATGACTTATGCTTTTTATTGAAGGAACCTCTTCTGAGACGCAATAATTTCTTGAAAACAGGTTAGGAAGTTAACCTTTCACTCAGTTAAAGAACCCCTTCGATAGTGGTCCTGATTGATAAACACCTCTTTCAAAGTCTGTATTCCCCAGCAGCTAACGTACAAATTGTTGTTGTTTTTATTAAGCCCATTTTACATCTTCCTGTTTGAATCAAAGAAGTCCTGTTGTGGCACTGTAGGATCAACAATGGACTGAGAAACACAAGGTTAGCAATTCAAACACACCAGCTACTCCTTGGAAACCCTATACAGGTTGGCTATGCATCGGAACCTACTAGATATCACTTCACAAAAACAATTTGAATCAGAAGTGTAAGGATAGTCTGAACAGTTTTACTGAACAGTTTTTTTTAAAAAACTTTTTACTGTTAACTGAATGATAGTATACATGGGGGAACATCAATTTTGCACTCATTCTATTGTATTAATTTCAATGCAATGATTATAATCTCCTTCATGCTTCATCATTCAGTAGTATTTGCTTCTATTCCCTCTGTTTTTTGTTTGTTTGTTTGTTTTTGAATTTTGGATGTGCACCAAAACACTCAGGAATATACAATCATTCAAACAGCCACAGGGCACACCCTGCAAGCCTGCCCCCCATCCCTCCAGCTGCCAGCACACATCCGACCTCCAGCACACATCCCCTCTCCCTCCATGAGTCTAGAATCCACAGCTGCTCCGTCTCTCCATGTCATCTCTGCCTCCATCTCCATCTCTGGCGTCACTGCTTTTCTGGGTAGGGTTCCATACTCTGCTCCTGCTCTTCTCCCTTGATGGTCCCAGGGTCCTCCGCTCCGGAACTGTAAGATCAGCCACTCATCCCTTTTTGCTACAAAACTTCTACCTTTACAGTTGCGACAATCACAATTAGTTATGATAACAATTACTCACTATTGAATCATGAGTCTTGTCCCTATCTCCTTTTACCAGACCTGTCTAGACAGTATGAAAACCACTCTTACAAAACAGTTTTATACTTATGAATGATATTCCTCCCAGTTTACAGAGATGGAGGATGAAGTGATATTGACATTGTTTGTCTGATCCACTATAGAAACTTGTCATGAGTTTCCAAAGGCTAGAGCAAAATATGGGTTGTATGTAACGGAGAAACTCAACTATAGCTAGAGGAGAAAGGAGTGGTTAGATTGTAAAGTAAACCCAGGAGTTAAATTACCCAGAATACAGATAATTTTTAAAAATACTAGCCTCGATTGCAGATTTTAAGCTTCAAAGTCATTTTCGGTGGTTTCTTGGAAATGTAATACTTGGTAGATTCCCTTCCAGGTAGATTAGCTACAAGATTTAACCTGGACTTCCTTTGGCAGTGTTTCTGTAGACAGCCTAGTGTAATCAGCAAGAGCACAAGCTCTGGAATGACAGAAACCCATCTAAATAATTCCAGTCACTAGCCATGTCACCTAACCTTGCTCATTTTAATCTTCTCTTCCCTAAAATGGGAATGCGACTGATATTTGAGGACAAAATGAGATGGTGCGTGTGAAATGCTTAGCACTCTCCCTGGTACCTGAAAAGATATCAGTTAATGCAATAAATCACCATCATTATTAGTATCCTAGATGCTCTTCAATTGCCATGCTAGTAGGTGGTCCGGAAACCAAACTACTTTTGATGCTAGTTATTGAATATTCATTAGAGTTACAATGCACAGTGTTAGATTTTATAGCAACCTTTGGAATATGTCACATAACTTTGTATTCTTTCACTGCTTGGAATCCCATGCAATGTGACTCTTTCTCTGTGTGACTGAATGGGAAGGGGCATGTGATGGTTGGTGTTGGTTTAGGAGACTGGGGTCAAATCATACGTATGTAGATAACTTAGGTCATGAGTTTAAATATTACCCTGTACA